TGGTAGATCCCCACTTGGGCCATTGGCTGTTGGAGATCCAGGCGAGCCTGTGTCGAAGCCTGGTGATTGTGACATAGTGTTTGTCAGAGGCTGGTTGGTGAATCCAGATCCGATCTCAACTCTTTCCGCAAGCTTGTGTTTCCATTCAAGGACAGCATGGAAGTTTTGGAAAGTCTTGGCCGGGCCACGTGCATCACTCCACCCCGAGCCTTCTTGAGACACCCACAGTCCAGAGTTCAGAGCCAGTTTTCCCTGCTCCACACGGCATCAGAGCCCAAAAGAACATCAAAGGCTGAACATTCTCCTGGGCCCCTATCATCCTTGGTATTCCTTGGTCCACTTCAACTCCATCATTTGCCATCCATTAACCATTCATCCCCCAAGCACATCCTTAAAATTGCCGGTTTTATCTCAGATGTCCACCCACGCCCACAGCGCCGCCTTCACCCCCTTGAAGAACTGCGCCGGAACCTTCGCCTGCGTCGCCAGGAGCTCCGCGTCGATGGCGAGCCTGTGGCCTTCTGCCACCAAGGCTGCCGCGCGGTCGTCGACTCTGGAACCTCTTTACTGGCGGTGCCCGGCCCGTGCCTCGGACAAAACACGTCTTCACCCGTGGCGCCGGGTGCGACGTTCGGCGAGGTTCGATGTTGGAGCTGTTTATGTTTTGGGGGGGAGTGTGTTTTTTGAAGCATCGTAGTGGACACACTTTTTAATTAGAACTTAACTCATTTTTTTGGGGGGGAGCTGAGCAGTCCAAGCATTTCCTCGAGCAACGTAGTTGACATAAACGAAGAGCTTGAAATTGTCAGGCAACCAACTTTCCTAAGTGCTAAGCCTGGCAAAGGAGCTTTAGAGTCCGAGAACCCTTGCCTGTCACCCATTCTGCTTCCAAACAAATCCGCACACACACAAATACCCACCAAAAGAGTCCAAACGGCATGCTCGCTCATCCCGCCCATTTATCCCTACACATCCCTACACCACGCCACTCTTTCCGCGGCTCGAGGATCTTCCCGGAGCTCCACGAGCTTTTACGCTCGGAGGCGCCCTGCGGCCAGCGGCGTCTGGAGATTCAGCTGGATGGAGTGACCTTGGAACTCACTGGACGCCAAACAGCACACAAGGCCTGGGTCATGAGCCTTTAATCACAGAAATAGGGCCTAAGTAGCCCTTCCACAAGTCCTACCTCATGAATGACCAGTTGGTGCATATCTGGAGTGAACGGGACGCACGATGGTCAGATGGTCATGTTTTGTACTCCTTGAGCCTTGGGTTATACCACGATCGGTCCGGTAGGTAGTTAGAAAACCCATGAGTTTTATCAGGTAGTAACATTATATAAGTCATGATATATATATATACAATGATATGCCATGCGTTGCCATGCGCTCACATTACATTACGTGCAGGTTGCCGCCTAGCAATAGATATCCAAAAAAGCGCCATGCCGCTTCTTTAAAATTTGCTTTACTTCGAGTAATCCCCACCATGACATTTCAAGACAGACACGTTGACATCACCCTCGTTGTGTATTTCAGCCCATAGCACAAGTCCTTCAGCGCCAAGTCTTATTGTTTTGTCCGAAGCGAATGCTTTCATCAGGAGACCTGTGCCCAACTAATAATACAACTCAGATCCTCCGCTTGCGCGTTGTGGTTGTGTGCTGTGATTGTGTTGTGGTTGTGTGTTGTGGTTGTGTTTGTGGTTGTGTGCTTGTGATGGTGTTTGTGGTTGGGTGTTTGTGGTTGTGTGTGTGTGGTTGTTTGTTTGTGATTGTGTGCTTGTGTGTGTGTGGTTGTGTGTTTGTGATTGTGTTTGTGGTTGTGTGTTTGTGGTTGCGTTTGTGATTGTGCTTGTGCTTGTGGTTGTGTGTTAGTGATTGTGTTTGTGGTTGCGTGCTTGCCATTGTGTTGGTGGTCGTGTGCTTGTGGTTGCGTGTTTGTGATCGTGTTTGTAGTGTGTTTGTGATTGTGTTTGTGGTTGCGTGTTTGTGATTGTGTTTGTGGTTGTGTGTTTGTGATTGCGTATGTGATTGTGGTTGCGTGTTTGTGATTGCGTTGGTGGTTTTGTGTTTGTGCTTGCGTGTTTGTGATTGTGGTTGTAGTGTTTTTGTGGTTGTGTGTTTGTGGTTGCGTTTCTGATTGTGTTTGTGGTTGCGCTTGTGGTTGTGTGTTTGTGATTGTGTTTGTGGTTGGGTGTTTGTGGTTGTGTTTGTGTTTTTTTTTTTGTGCTTGCGTGTTCGTGATTGTATTTGTAGTGTGTTTGTGATTGTGTTTGTGGTTGTGTGTTGTGGATGTATTTGTGATTGTATGTTTGTGATTGTGTGCTTCTGGTTGTGTTTGTAGTTGTGTGTTTCTTGTTGTGTTTTTTGGTTGTGTGTTTGTGGTTATGTGTTTGTGGTCGAGTGTTTGTGGTTATGTGTTTGTGACTGTGGTTGTGGTTGTGTGTTTCTGGTTGTGTTTGTGGTTGTTTGGTTGGTGTTCTGTTGGAAATTGTGTGTTGAGGTCCGGCGGGGAACACTGGGCGCGGATGATCGTGGTTGAGGTCCGGCAGGGAACACTGGGCGCGGATGGT